AAATCAGAACAGCCAGCCTAAATGGGCATTTAAATATATATATATATTTTTTTTTGAAGCCTCAAGTACAGAAATGCAGCTTTTGGTTTCCTTGCTCAGGCATTGAGGTTTTTTCCCCAGTATTAACTGGTGTACCTTTTGGTCACAAACACCTGGAAAAAACTCATGTTATGCTTTTATTTCTAAAATTTTCCTCTCAATGTTTCTTCTCACTGATGTTTGATCTCTTCTGTCAGAATGGAAGCAGCGCAGCTCCCACAGAGGAAAATGTAGCTTCTTCACCATGTAGCATCTCCTTATCTGAACTGGTATCCAGTCTGGACTCCATATCACTGACTGTGAGCACACCTGGACAGAACTGCTCTTTCACTGTGACCTCTCCAGATACAGATGGCATCGAGTGTAGGCAAAGAACAAGAGAAGAGGAGGCGGTGGAGGGTTCAAGCAGAGCACATCATGTAGGAACCGACCAGCTAGGAGTTGAAGCGGGAGGAAACAAGAGCATGAGAGAAGTTTTCACCTGTGTTCTGGATCACCTGGAGCCTGGGACCACCTACCAGCTGCAGGTGCAGTCGAAGACAGATCAGGAGTCTGCAAACATCACCGCGCACACCAGTAAGTCCTGATCCCATCTAGATGTGTCAAAAATTTAAAATATTCAAAAAAGATACATACTGTTGACGGAAGTATCCATATTTATGTGCATACTCATCACTTACTTAGAATACTCAGTAATTTTGTTTACAAATGCACAATTAATTTATGTTGAACGTGTGACATTTCTGCTACTTCTTGTAGTTTTATTAGGGCATGACAAATTTTTATTTTATTTGACACGGTGCTAAACACACCATACCTGCACCAGTTCACAGACTTAAACCCCATTCACTATAGTGGAGCTAATACTCTATTGTTTTCTGTTTCATTGCATTGTTTCCATCTCCTCTGCCCTCTCGCGTTTGAAGTGAACCAACAGGACTCGACCTCCATGTCTTTGTGTATCTCAGAGTTAATGTCATGCAGCTTCCCCTCTCTGCAGCTCTGTGATTAGCAACAGGAACCCCTGCCCTGCTGAGAGAGAGTGATAGAGTTGTTAAAGTAAATGCATGTGTGTGTGTTGTGTCTCTACGCTGGCGGGAGTCCAGAACAGAAGTTGGACCCTCAGTGTGTATTTCCATCGTGGGCAGAGCTCAGGGTTCAGCCATTTCCTGCCTCCATTGTTTCTTTGTTCTGTGGGAAGCACTGGGAAAGGGTGTGAAGGTGTGTATAAGTGTGTGTTTGTGTTCATGTGTGTGTTGAGTTTGGGGAAAACTGGGTGTTGCTGCACCCAATCGAGTCCCGACAGTAACCTTCTCAGAAATGCAAAACACTTCTACTGTGGCGTTTGTGGTTTCTTATCTTCTGTGGCATGCCGACTGTTACATCCACTGACCTTTAGTGGACTGGTCAAATATTTTTACACCACATGTATTTATTTGGTTGCCGGCTTGGCTGGTTGGTTAGTTGGTTGAAAAATCAAACTATGAACCAGGCAACTGTCTCACGTCTCAAAGAACATAGAAACTTAGTATTGAAGATATTTGAAGATATCTTTAGATACAGAACCATCCACCTGTAGCTTACTAGATTATTCAAGCTTTCTTAATCCCGACTTTAGTTTTATATTTAACTAAGTTAACCTTCCAAACATCACTATTTAGTTTTCATCTTTATTTTTGTCCAAATTTATGACAAAGTTATAGCAGTACTCTACATTTAAGACTTTTTATAAAGAAAGTCAGAACATGGTATATCCTCTCCAGATACAAACTAAGTAACTAATTTCTAACTTGGTTCAGTTAAGTTTTATTTATATACCACCAAATCACAACAGCGGTTTTGCCAAGGTGCTTTATATTGTAAGGTAAAGATTCTACAATAAAACAGGGAAAACCCCGACCATCAAACTATGCTCAAGCACTTGGTGATAGTGGGAAGGAAAAACTCCCTTTCAATAGGAAGAAACCTCCAGCAGAACCAGGCTCAGGGAGGGGTGGCCATCTGATGTGGCTTGTTGGATGTAAGGGGAGGAAGACAGAAGAAAAGTACTAAGAGGTCTTTAAGATAAGACCTCATAGGATGTTTGTAAAACTAAAACCTCATCAGTCCTGTTTGTTGTAGAAGTTTGAACATCACACCTTATTACAGCTCCTGGAGAGAAGACACACTGATGATTTTATTGGAGCTGAAACAATTTTAACTCTGTGTTTATTTGATTTGAGAATGTGAACCTGAAAACGATTGACTTCAGACTTAAGCAGCAGATGTATGAATGCTAACAGTTTCTATAAAAAAAGCAACTGTTATCATTTTCTGACATTGATTTTTATCCCATATAGTAACAGAAAATGGTCAAATTTCATAAATCATGTTCAGGCTATTGGAAACAAATACAAGCTCTCTACTCTGAACTATGGGTGGTGTCGAGGTTTCCTGCGCTCATTTCAGAGAGTTGGTTGGCAACAGAGGAAAAATGTTGGGTTCAGGTTATGAGAGAGTTCTTAAAGTGTTCATGTATGTCTGCCAGTTACAGAGTAAAGATACTTCTAATCATTTCACAGTGAAGGTCTATGTTGATGCCATGTCTTTACTTCTTTGTAGCCTTTAACCATTAGCATGGTGGCATTTCTTCACAGCAGTTTTAGGAAGAGGGCTGCGACTGGCTGCACGTACAGAACCAGTCCTAAATTCTTCAGACCAGTCGTAGCTTTGTGGGTCAGAAAAGCTTAAACAAAGAACAAAGAAATAACTGGATGGTAAACGGGCCTCGAGCTGCACCATGTTCACATGTGCTGCGTTACAGCATTGTGTTTGTGTCCACTGTTGTTGTGGTTGTCATCTAACCAAAGGATGTGTTGAGCTCGAACATGGAAGAGCTCCATGTTGTGTCTGAAACAGTGGGACTGTTCCTTTAAGGTAAATTATATATTTTGAACATGAAGGTCAGTCGGACTGCAGGGAGGTTTCAGCAGGAAAAGGATCCATCGCAACCATCTGTGGCCTTGTCATCAAAGTCTGAACATCGTGGGAGGCCTGCTGACACACACACACATGCCTGTTTGAAATTCTCCCACATCGCCTCTCTGCAGCCTCACAGGGTTGTTAAAAAAGTACTCTTGTGTCACCAGCCACTCCAGACTGAGGTCAAATACAGTCATCACAATCCCCACAAATAAACAGTTAAAGTTTCCGCAATTAGCTTCTCTTTAAAAACAAAAAAACAAAAACGACAGGGGTTGGGGGGAGTAAACAACAAAAATCAGAACAGCCAGCCTAAATGGGCATTTAAACGCTCGCAAGTCTTTGCACTTAACCTTACAAAAGCTGGAACAGGTACAAATGATTAAATGAAATAAGCATGCAAGGCAAAAGGTTAAAGCGGGCTGTAAATTGAATTATTTAGTTTAATGTTTAATTTGCTCTTGTCTTAGAGCCCTCGGCGGTGATCAGCCTGGCGGTGACATCCAGGACCTGCAGCAGTCTAAGTCTTTCCTGGCAGGCCGGAAACGGCAGGACGCAGCGCTTCAGGCTTCAGCTATGGGAACAGTCTGAGAGTCCAGATCAGTCCGGTACGTCTGTGATGTTTCTAACTGCTTATGATCATCCATGTCCTCAAAAGAAACAGCCCTGATGCAATCATCCACTCTCAGCGTTTCCATACTTTTAATCCTGGACTCTACTAGAGTAGCTCTGCATGATTCACAGTTTAAAATAAGGCACCATGAGTGAGTTTACATTTCAGGTTCTTTCAGATTGAAGAACAGGAAAAAAAATGCTTTTAGCTGATTGTTTCAAGCAGTCTGAAACTTTCAGCCTCTTAACTTTTTCTCCACTGTCATGTCTGCAGGTCTGCTGAAGAACGAGACTTTAGGGAGCACAACAACACGACACACACTAAACAGCCTGGTGCCAGGTCGACTGTACAACATTACTGTGGTGACAGAGGGCGGCAAGCTGCAAAACAGCCGGACCATCAAGGCTCAGACAGGTGAGGGAGGAGAGTGAGAGGGGGAAGAGTAATGACAGGAGGAAAGAGGTAAATGAGTGAATGAATGAAGGGATAAAAAAGATGGAAAGGCAAAAAGCAAAAGATACAAGATAAAGAAAGAAACTAAGCAAGAATAAAACAAGGAAACAAGACAGGAAGGAGTGAAAGCAGAAAAAGCAAAACAACAAAAAGCAAGAGAGAAAAAGAAATAAAATGAAGGAATTAAACAAAATTTAGACAGCAGAAAGAAAAGAAGGACAAAAAACAAGGACGGTCAGAAAAACAGAAACAAACTCCTTCACTAAAGAAGGAGAGAGTGAAACAGTAAAGGAAACAAATCAGGAAGACAGCAAAGAAAAATGGAAAACAAGTAAATGTTACATTTGAGTCTCTTTTCTCTTTAGTGCCTTCTGCTGTTTTCAACCTCACCACTAACTACGAGAATAGCACCAGCTTGCTGTTGTCGTGGCAAAAGCCCAAAGGCGACCTGGACGCTCTCATTGTCACGCTCACATCCAATGGCACGAGGCTCTGGGAGACCACCCTGCCTGGGAACGTCACAGAGGTCACCATCCATCAGCTGACTCCTGGCTCAGCCTATCAGCTTACAGTGACTTCTAGGAGTGGCAGACTGACAAACCAATCAGAAATCACTGTCAGGACAGGTGAGATGATGAAATGAAGCTGCCCTTTATTTTATTTTTTTTGTTTCCCCCCTTTCCCCTCACCCTGGTGTCTTCTTGTCTCCAGCTCCAGCTCCAGCATCCCTCCTCACCTTGTCTCCCTCTACCTCTGGTGGCCTCTTCCTAGCTTGGTCACCTCCAGCTGGTCACTGGGAGAACTACAGGCTGTTCCTATTTGATGGCTCTCAACAGATAGTCAGCACATCTCTGGACCAGGAGGCAGTGAACTTCAGCATCCCCAGTGCAGGACTAACACCAGGGAGGGTGTACAGAGTTGTGTTGAGAGTGGAGAGTGGAGGACTGACAGCTGAGAGTAGCTGTGAGGGATCAACAGGTCAGAAATATATCAGCACAAATACATATGATAGTACATATCATACTTGTGAAGTTCAGCTTTGACCTGTGGTACTGACTAATCTGATCACTTCAAAGTAAGGGCTGAACTGGGCTCCTGTACTGGTGTGCCAGAATAACAACTTGCAGTAAAACTTGCTGCTTTTCCGTCTGTCTCTGCAGCTCCTGCTCCGGTATTGGATCTCCACATTCGGCACTCTGATCAGACCTCACTCAGTGCTATGTGGAGCCACTCCCCCTTGGGGTTACGTGACAGCTACTTCCTCACCCTTTACCATGGTAATAACAGTACAGTCTACCAGTATTTTTCTTTTTTTGTAAACTCTCTGAAATCAGCATTGTTATTTTCAAAAGTTTGACTCTTAAATGTTAGAAAAAGGGAATTTTTCTTCATTATACTTCCTGCTGTCTCCTAGGTAATAACACAGAGGCTACCAGGACAGTGGAGCCAAATATGAGGGAGTGCACCTTCAATGTCCTCACACCTGGTAGACTGTACACCATTACCGTGACAACCAGAAGTGGAAAACTGAACACCTCTGTTTCTGTGGAGGGGAGAACAGGTGTGTGTTTTTATACTGCCCGTGTGTTGGTGGTAGTAAAACTGCAGGTCCCCACGAGGTACCGTAGGAAAGAACACCAGTTCAACTGATTTTATTTTGGCATGTAAAAATGTGGAAAGTTTTTCTCAGATAAC